AGGAGCACTGACAGTAGGCTTAGCAGGACTAGAAGTACTTGATAGTTGCTGTCTCCTCTGGGAAACAGAAGAGGATGATGTACAGGATTCTTCAACATTATTTTCACCACCAATCTTTTCATCACTGCTCGTGGGAGCCTTTTCCTGGGGTTCCGCTCCCCCGAAATCCGCCGCGGGCACATCTGTGGGCTTCGCTGGCTTCGGAGCGGGCTCTGCGGCAGGTTCTGGTGACCTGGCGGCCTCCTTCCCACGCCGCGGCTTGGCGACAGCGGAGCTCCGGGCGCCACCACCGGGCCTGACATTCGGCTTCACGCTAAGGCGCACCCTGCGGAACACAGCGGAGCCAGGGGTCCCGGGGAGGCGGCTCCTCGGCCGCGCTCAGCCCCGAGGCCCGGCCGCTGCCCGAGAGAGGGCTAGGACCTACGCCCTTCCCACACCTCACACCACCAGCCCTGCCGTCAGCTACCGCAGTTTCGTACCCCCGCCACCACCTCCTCGTTCCCGCCACCGCCTCTTCTTCATGACCCTGCCACACTAGTAGCTAAGTTTCTCCCGGAGCCTCGCTCCCCCACCCGCAAAGAGTGCCCTACATATTCCTTTTAATTTTCTGGCTTGCTTACATTACAGTGGGTCACAATTCTTCCCTTGCTTCTACAGAGACACTTTCATAATGTTTTTTCATTTGTGGGATTACCTGAAAACCCGTTTTTCATGAGCATATTCATACATGCCTGTACTTTTCTTATAGCAGGAAATTAGCTTGTCCAACTGAGAGCATATAAACTCACAGAACCTAGGACCTGTTAGGAAGGTGCTTCAGAGTGGGGATTCGGTTTCAGATCTGCCTACATAGCCCCGTTTCAGTATGTCAGCTTGATGTAAGAATATAAGAGTTGGTAAATTCACCATGACTCAAACGCTGTTCTTAGATTTTTTTTCAGATCTGCTTTCAGTTTAATAAAAGAGATTTTCCACAACCTTTCCTCATCTGAGGAAGTCTCTGTATTGCAAACACTTGAACTTTAAAGCCATGGCATCATCTGGGGTGGGATTTGCAGAGCTCTGACAAGGGCAGTCACACAGTTGCAAGAGTGACCTCACCACAACTCTGACGGCAGCAGTGAGCAGGGTTATTCCTCTTAGCATACACTTTTCATGGTAAGAGGCTATAGAATACATTCAAAAGAAATTTATGTAAATATAGTCCAGAGGCTTAAAAATGTTCCATGCATAGTGAGGAGGTTTTGTAGCTAAAGCAAAGTAAGGAGCATTTTCTACAGACAGCAAAATGACCTAGTGTAACCCTTCTAATAGGTGAACCTTGGCTGAAGCGATGAAGTCATCCCTAAATTAATATTTCAGAGTCGATGATTAACTGTTATTATTGATAAGAGTATCTGTTTATATGGTATGGGAATGACATGCTGTTACGGTCACATGCTGTGGTATTATTAAAGGACAAGGGCTTTTCAGGAGATTATGAGTTTTCACTTGGAGATCCATCTTCCCTGACTTAATTTTGAATGGATTGAGAAGGCAAAATCCTACAGTGCCTGAATCATTCGTTTCTTGACTCCTATGTGTAGCTGCCAACAGGTCATTAAAGGGCTGACAGATTTTTTTTTAACCTACCTGACAAGCTTTGCCTCTAAGCCACTTTCCTTCTTGTTTTAGTAGATAAATTGCATTGATTTCAGATAGCACACATAGTTCCTTAACATAAATGTATGCTTCTGCTTTAAAAATACCACCATGATTATTATCTGATGCTTAATTATTTGATGTCTGATTTTAGAATTTGGTATCCAATGTCCAAGGTTTGTTTGTTTGTTTTGTTTTGTTTTGTTTTTGTTTGCAGAACTGGGGATTGAACTCAGGCCCTTGCACTTGCCAGGAAAGCGCTTATTCCACTGAGCCATCTCCCTGGCCCCATAAGGTGTTTTTTTTGTTTGTTTGTTTGGTTTGTTTTGTTTTTGGGGGATTTTTTTGCTCCAAATGCCTTCAGAGCGGGCTGGAGTGTTGTAGGGACCGAACTACAGCAACCTGAGGCTGACAGGTTTGTGGAAACAGACACTTAAAGAACTGAGCTAGGGACAGGCCCCCCTCCAAGGTTTTAAATTTGAATATCATGCTTTCTGAGAGTTTCAGGACCTAAACTTGTTTCTGATTGTGTGCTAGGATACATAGCTGACTTAGAAATTCTCTATAGATTAATTTTGGAAGATTCTTACTGATTTTCCTCTACACATTTACATAATAGTCACTACCAGTTTTACTGACACAGCCTATAAAGAAGTTCATTTGCATTAGGTGAAAGTCTAGACAGTGATTGGCAGCTGAAATTTTGAGTGGAGCTGAAGGCAAAACCCCACAGTGCCTGTATGATTCCTCAAAGAGCGTCTTTTTGAGTCTTTATCAGGTTGAGGTAAAGACCATCTGTTCCAATATTCTGTAGGGTTTTTATCGTGAATGAGTGTCAGACCTTGTCAAAAGCTGTTTCTACACCTATTGAGATGATTGTGTGGTTTTTGTCCTTGGCTCTGTTAACATGGTGAATTACATTCATTGATTTGTGTATGTTGAACCATCCCTGCATCCCTGCGATGAATCCCACCTGGTCATGGGGTATAATCTTCTAGATGATTTGCTGCATCCTGCTTGCTAGTATTTCATTGAGGATTTTTGCATCTGTGTTCATGAGGGAGATTGGCCTGTAGTTCTCTTTTTTAGGTTGGGTCATTCTCTGGTTTTGGTATCAGGGTAATACTTGCCTCCAGGAATGAGTTTGGAAGAATTGCTTCCCTTTTTATTTCACTAAAGAATTTGAGGAGTATTGGTGTTTTTTGAGCTTCTAATATGATTATGGCTGTGTAATATTTTGAAGGATTTTTTTTTTCTGGCTGGCTCCGAATGTCTTCAGGGCAGGTTTGGCTGGCTTGAGTTGTGGGGATCGAACCACAGCAACCTGAGCCTGACTGCTTTGTTGAAGTAGCCACTTAAAGAACTGAGCTAAGGGGCAGGCCCCCTGTGTAATATTTTGTAATAAAAGCATTATAATCCTTAGACTTGATTTGATTTGACATCTAGAACAGTAATGCTTATTTTATGTTTTTTTAATTGAATTTTATTTTTTTTAAACCAAATTGGTAGGACAGCCTCAACAATCAACACATTGCATACATTCTTCCTTGTGGTTAATTGCTGTACAAGATGCAGACATGATATCCTATTTACAAACACTATTAGAACAAATCCTTCTATTCATTAAGAGAATGTAACCACATATCTATCCCCACCATTTTGAATACACAGATAAAAAATGGACATTCATCTGTATCCCCTTTTTTTCGTTAAGTTCCGTTATTTGAATATAGGAGTGTAAACTCAGCAAAACATTCTAAAAGAATCCAGTAGTCCATAATAGCATTGGGTCCTCCGCTTCACTGGCAATGTCAGAAATCGTTGACCTGCGTCCCCTACAGCTCAACACAACAGCATGGCTAGTAATGCTTATTTTAAAAGGAGAGAGCAATTTAGCTACTTGTAAGTAAGTTTTAAATTCTCACAGAACACAGTAGTGTGTCTGTGATTACCTGAGAACGTCCTATTACCTAAAGCAGTCTAGGCTGGGGACACTGTGCCTGCAGACCTTCTACCCGGTGATGGCCCTGGGTCTTGTTGCTCTCGGGAGAAGTAATGACACCTGTTCATTGACTGGACTACAATTGCCCGCAGGTATGGTGCGAGTGCAGAGCCCACAGGAGACCAGACAGGGTCCCCTCTTGGCTCCCTCCTCACATCCCCGCACTGTAAGTAATGGTCTAAGTGAGACTCAGGAAGAGAATAGTGTGGCTCAGGGCCACTAATCTTTGCATTAGAAATTAGATACCTGTGCTAAATCCTGACTGGAGGCAGTTGCTCTCCCTTCGCCCTCTGGCATGGCCGCATGCCCAGCGCCATTCTCCTCGCAGTGTGTCACCTGCAGAGGAGACATAGTGCTAGCAAAGGGTAGCAAAACAGTGTTTCACCTTCATCTTGATAAAAAGAATGCAACACTTACAATTACAGGCGTGAGCCGGGTGTACTGGTGCACACCCGTAACCCCAGCACTCGGGAGGCTGAGGCAGAAAGGTCTGTGACTTTGAGGCCATCCTCAGCTACGTAGTGAGGTCAAGGCCAGCAGTACTGATTCGTTTATTCTTTATAAGTTAACAATCTTTGAAATAGTAGATAACTGTTAGCTAGATTTACTTGATTAGTTAAAAAAAAATTCAAAGACTACTTTAGAATTGCTATAAAAATTCTAACACTTGTATAGAATATAAAAACTTCTAATACTGAAATTATAGTAACTTGGAATGTGGGTGTCTTAAAGGCACAGTCCGTAATTTTTCTGACAGTGAGAATGGATATTCTTTTCTTTTTTTTTTTAATTTTTTTAATTTTTTTGGGGGGGGGATATTCTTTTCTTGGCACCTGTGAACTTCAGTTTTGTCAGCCAAAGGGCTGCGGTCACCCTGTCTGGCAGAGTAACCATTTCTTGCTTATTCAAAATAAGAAAGTACACAATTAGTTAGACATTGCTCCACGTGAGGGAGGCCCAGAAGAAAGCCCTTGATCACCCTTTTGCCTGTTACTTGTCTTAGGGGTTTCCATCTCCACTACATTTACCTTGGGCCGGGTGAGATAGCTCAGTGGAATAAAGCAAGCACAGGGTCCTGAGTTCGATCCCTGGTACCACACACACACACACACACACACACACACAAATAAAATTTATCTTTGTATGAGATGTAAAATTAAATCTGATTGAATTAATATAAAATCTAGTCTTGTGAAAACATTCAGAACATACAGCACTTATAAGGCAGAAAGCAGCAGGGCCGACCCCTTCCCTGCTCTGTGCTCTTCTCGCGAGGCACACGCAGTGTGGCCACGCTCGCCTCTTGCCCCCAGCCCTCTGAGCGACAGCTAGTGTTGTGTGTCCGTTGGTCCGGCCAGGGCCGCTGAGCTGTTTTGAGATGCACAGAGCAGTGACTTTCTTCCGTTCACATCATGCGTACTTCTCTAATATGAATGATGAATTTCTAAAAGTAGAAAAATACACCTTAAATATTGTTTCACCAACATTTAGTTTTTTTAAGAAAATATTTGTGTTACTCCATGTTTGCAGTGCGTAACGATCTCATTCCCCGGGGATGTTGGCGCATGCGCATAGCACATCTTCATCCTTTTGTCATCCCCCTCCCCCCTCCATCTCTTGATTGTTTTCCCATTTGACCTTTCAATATTTGACAAGTGCTCTGCTTTCTTAGTTGGGATCAATTGTATATGCTCTATGAAATTGGTAATTTTATCTGAAACTGTAATAAAGTTCTCAGTGCTTGGACTACAGTCTGAAAAAATAAGTATAATCACTTATTTCTGGAAAATAAATTGTAGTATAATCACTTACAAAAGAAGTTTTGAGAATGATAGTACTTACTACAAAGGATACATTGTTATATCTTTAAAATGCTAAGGAAGTTTGAAGATGCCTACTTGAATTTGGAAAGTTAATTTTTCTTAATGCATGTTTTCGTTTTAGGAACTGGAGCAGTACAAGAAAAATGCTTCTAAGTCTTGGAAACAAATTGATCTTGACTCTTGAACCTTACTCAGCTATTATGTTGATTTTTTTCTTTCTCAAATTCAAGTAAGATTATTTTATTAATTAACTATTGTGGCAATCTGTGAAGAAAGTTAAGAGATGTGTTTTGTTACAGGAAAAGCTCAGTTTTCTTGAATGAGACTCTTTTCTGGATACTTTAAACTCTTTTAAATGGGAAAAACATTTTGTAACTACATGTCATATTTTTTAAAAATAAAGGAACCTTCTGTTACCCGTGTTTAACGTGTCAGTAGAACAGATTCAGCCCAGCAGGCACTATGTTTTGCTTCTATGTTCTTGGGGCTGTGAAAGCGAGATATTTGCTCACAGTTTTAAATACAGTGTTGTGTCCGTATTAGTCACATTGCTTCCAGAAGTTGAACTCAACCGAAGTTGGTGAGAAACCCGATTTTGCCTTCTGGGTATCATGCTTTTATTCTCAGCAGTGAGGCACAGGGAGCACCTACAGGTATTTAAAACACACGTTCCTGCCGGGCACGGTTGTTGTACACCTGTAATCCCAGCATTCAGGAGGCTGAGGCACGAGGATCCCGTGGAGTTCAAGCCTAGGCTACATAGTGAGCTTCAGACCCACCTGAACTACATAGTGAGACCCTCTCTGAACTGCGTATGCCTTGCTTTCTTTCTACACCCAGAAATTCTGAATCCTTAGTCTGGAATGGAGCATTTTTTAAGATCATCACCAAGCAAGACTGACGTATTACTTGAAATTAACACTTTTTTGAAGAGTAGACAAAATTAAGCTGATAGCCTGTGAGTAGGCACAACAGTACACTGGGGATAACGAGGATTCTTTCCAAGATGGTTCTTAAGAAGCCTTTCCAGCCCTGGAGGTTTATGTACTTATAGTCAAGTTCAGTTTTCAGCGTAAGTGCTGTTATTAGCCAGGAAAGTTATGCTTGTTTTTTCCATTTCCACTTAAAAAGCACAACTGCATTCTACTGGACTCTTTTAGAATATTTTGCTGAGTTTACACACCTATAATATTCAATAACGGAACTTAGAAAAAATGGGGTATACCAATGAATGTCCATTTTGTATCTGTGTATTCAAAGTGGTTAGGATAGATATATAGTTGCATTCTCTTAATGAATAGAATGATTTGTTCTAATGGTGTTTGTAAATAGGATCACAAGTCCACTTCTTGTACAGCAATTAACTACTGAGAATATATGCAGTGTATTATTTGTTGAAACTGTACTTCCGATTTGATTTGAAACTGTCTCATTGCTATCTGTTTATCAATAAAATTTAAAGAAAAAAAAACACACAATTGCAGTATGCCCTGTGCCAGCTTCCAAGAAGCACATTTCCAAGCCCAAGGGACACTAGACTGGCGAGTGCATCTGCGCGGGGAGCGGGCCATCCCCGTGCTGCAGGCCAGCAGGACTGCACAGTTACTGGTAGCGGCAAGTGAGAGACCAGAATTCCCAGGTGTTTCTGAGGAGTCTGTCTTAAGAACAGATTCCCTGCCTGCGTGCTGTGGAGAAGGAAGGAGCTCTCTTCACATGCGCGGTGAGCATGACGATCTTCGAAGCACACCAGCACACCACAGTAAGACGGTTTCTATTATAGAGTTTGATTTTCTTTCATATCACTGTCCATTTTTGGCTTGAGATATAAGATGTCACATGTTGAAAGTCGTGTTTTTGTAAGATGCTCTCACTGACATTTAATAGCTTTAAGTCACATGCGATGTCAGTTTTCAAAGTGTTCCAAGCTCTGATGAAATTCATCTGCATATGAATAGTGCAAAATGTTTCTGCTTACCGTGTGCATCCAATATCTTGTGTCGAAATGTGTGATTTCAAAAGATGTTCCTGTGGGACTGTCTTTGAACTACTTTAATAGATTATCATCTCGGACTTGTCTATAACTGATGTGACATATACAATCTGTAAGGCATTATGTAACCGTTATACCATAATCATCAATGTCACGGGCCTTTATAAAAATTGACAACACTATGCTGGTAATTTACCAGTGTCTCCAGATCCTTAAATACTGTTCTAGGCCATAGAATTTTACTGTGGTTTCCTTAATAAAATGATCTTTCTATTATAATGTGAGACGTCTAAAATGCTATAATTTATCATGTTTTACAAGCTAGGTCACAGTAACTGAACAAAGTTCATTTGCTGTGCTGCTCAAAGTCACCATGGCAACACTGACATAATTTTACTTCAGGCCCATAATGAATTACCTAAAGATCAATCAAAAAGATAATCAGTCATTTAGTAGAGAATCCATTTTTAATATCTGATGTTCATCGTTTCACCGCTGGAAATATGTGATATGTGTGTCTGTATTCCAGCATTCTCTTCACAGTTCAAGAGCATGAATCCCTCCTGTCACTCTGTTCTGCTCAGTGGAAATGTTGTGTGAGTTTAGTATTTTTCTGTAAGGACTTAATAACACTTGGATGTGGAAAGTGGCAGGTTCGTCTTCAGAGTCAGCAGCAGAAGGTCTCCCTGGCGCTGTGCTCACCATGCAGCCCCTTCCTTGCTGCAAGTGCAGTGTTAACCCTCAGCAAGGCCACTGGCTGCTCAGTGGCAGGCGTGGTCACCACCTCTGTCTGTCCCACATCCTCTCAATATGACCAGAGAGCTGGGCCCTGTCATGTGGATGAGTGAATGTGAATATGGCCTTTTGTTTCTGTTTCTTTAGGGGGTATTGGGAAATAAGTTCAGGGCCTGTATGCCAGGCAAGTGCTCTACCGCCGAGGTACTTTTACCCTCATTTCTCTCTCTCTCTCTCTCTCTCTCTCGCTCTCGCTCTCGCTCTCGCTCTCGCTCTCGCTCTCGCTCTTGCTCTCTGGCTCTCTCTCCTTTTTCTTTTATTTTTTTATTTTGAAATAGGGTTTCACTAGGTCGCATTTTGGCCTCAAACTTGCAATCCTCTTACTTCAGCCTCTCAGTAGCTGGTATCACAAGTATGCACCCCCACACCTAGCAAATGTGGATATTAAATGATAGCTAAAACCTCCTTACCTAATTCTACGTGAGTCTCTGTTTCAACAAACCTTTAACTTGTTCTCTGTTACTTCTAGTCAGTAATCATTTAAACATTTCTTTTTACCAAAGTCTCTATCAAATGTAAGCAAAATTTGCAAATTGACTCATTTTTCTGTATGTAGAAGAAGGAAAACAAATATCCACACTCATCTTCCGTAGGCTTATGGATTATTATTTACATTCATGGACCAGTTCAGTCACAATTTTCAAACACCACACGTCCCAACAGGTTGGAATAACAAGAAGCTGTGACCCATTTCCGTGGCACCTGAGGCCTATGTGGATCTGAAGCACGCAGGTAAAGTCTTGTAGTGGAAAGACAAGGTCCCACCAAAGAAGAAATCCAGAAATCCACGGTGATCTTACTTCAGGTATTCGAAATGGTCATCCACATCTTGACAGCTGAAGTTCCATCTCCTGGCAGTACTCTGTTCTATCTGCTAATGAGGTGGTCCCTTATTTTAAAAACAACTATCCCTAGGATAACCAGAACTGGGATATATACATATAAGATCAGAAAGTTTGCTGTGAATCTGGATGTTGCACCTGGACAGGTTGTTTCAATGAATTGAATTCCTTGAGTCATGGCGCACAATGGATTAGTGATCTCGGAATTAGCTGAGTTGCCTGCCAAAGAAAAGATGGACGACATCAGCCCCAGCACATCTGAGGTGACTTACCACGTACTTAGCACAATGTTCAGGAAGTGCTTAGCACTCTGTGAACACCCTTCTTCATGAAAGATACATGACTTTTTAGGGAGTCCAGGGCTCACAATCAAATGAAGTGGAAGTGAGAGTTCTAGGCCTTGGCATCACTTGTAGACGGAGATGGGTTTGTTTCTATTTGGGGTATAGATTCCTTACCATATTTTTACTGTTTATTTATTTATTTATGTATTTATTTTGCGGAACTGGGGATTGAACTCAGGCCCTTGTGCTTGCCAGGGAAACACTTATTCCACTGAGCTATCCCTCTGCCCCCTCTTATTTTGTCATATTTTTGACAAAATAATGTTCACTTAGCACCAGATTTCCTAAAATAACTGATGCTGTCACCTAAAAATATTTAAATAGCCACTAAATTCTGCATGTTCTTTTATTGCCTTCAAGGTGATTCCCGAGACCTCCAGGGGCCAAAAATCTGTTGTGTTCCCACTTCCCTCACACCCCCCATGGGATTTGGGAATAGACTTTTGCAATGGAAAATGGGTCCTCTCAGCTGCCTGCCACATACATTTTGAGGAGCCAGAAGCCACATTATAGCCTGCTTCTGTGAGCTCAGTAGATATAGGGGCTAAGTAGCTAAAATATACAATTTAATTCAATGCATGTAAATTCTGTCACTTGCTAATAATAGCAAAGCGGCCTTAGGCTATTGAGTTTGACAGAAGACAAACTCAACCTCTACTTATTTTATTTTAAAAATCAAAGAAAATGCTGTCTTTTATTTCAAGACAAGGTATTAAAAATCAATTTAATATAAAATATAGCTTTTATCCCCAAAATACATTTCTTTCAGAAAATTGCTTCCTCAAAATAATATGTAAAAATAATATTTCAAAACTGAATACTTACCACAAGTGAAATTCAGTCCATAGAACTCATTGACTATAAGAATCTCACAGCAATATTTTTGGAATGTGAAATACCTGTAGATTCTAAAAGGAAAGTTCATTTCTTCTACATTTCTTAAGGAAACAAAAGAGAAAGATTAAAATTCAGTAGGCTCTGGTAAATAGTTTTTCCCAACAAGAAAAAAGCCAGCCCTTATTTCATGTTCTTTAGCATAGTTTTTCATCTCAATTATAAAATTGATACCCACTATTAAAAAATCTTTAAATGATATTAAAATATAGAGAAATACACTGCCCAGAAATAACTGTGGTTAACATTTTGGTGATATATACAACCTATGTGTATGTCTAAAATTTTACACAAATGGAGTTAGACTATGCTATTTCCTAACATGCTTATTTCCCACAAACATATGTCTCAGGCTCCTTCCAAGTTAGTAAATGAAGCATTCAGTCATTTTAATTACACTTCACTGATCCAGTACAGTAGAGACTTTACCAGTCCTTTCATGATAGCCTAGTGCCTTATTTTTTTTGATAAATACAACTTATATAACAAGAAAGCACATACACATATTACATGAGAGGATGCCTGTGATTAAACATGGATTTGAGGGTGCTAGGGAATGAAGTGAGAACTAAAGTAAAATACAAGGGGAAAGGAGGAGAGAGCAAGGACACATTCATGAGAAGACAAAGTCCTTCTCCCGTACAGTCTAGGTCAAAAAGCTTCATGTCAGTGCCACAGCCTTCTTTGTTCACTATATATGTATGGTTTCTACCAACCAAAAATTGCATATTAAATATATTTGCAAAGCTCTGGTTCTAAATGCCTTAGGAATTTTAAAAAATAGTATCTTCAGCAGACTAAGCACCTGTGTAGGCAAGCACAGGGACTGGCATTTGATCCCTGGCACCACGTGCAGTGCTGGCCCTGCCGCTGGGTGCACTGAGCCAGCCACCAAGACCAGGCATGGTGGCGCATGCCTGTAACCCCAGTACTGAGGATGCTGAAAGCAGGAGGATCACTATGAGTCTGAGTTGCATAGTGAGACCCTGTACCAAATACCTAAATATATATATATATATATATATATATATATATATATATATATATCTTGTCCTTGAAGAACTCACTATGTGGTTAGAGACACAGACTATATATCCTTAACTCATTTATGCCAAACTGCAATTTTTGAACTTTTTCATGGAATTTATATACGTTACCTAGAAAAGTTCAAGGAACAAGACTTTGAAGAGAAAATATTTCATTATATTCCATTGTTATTGCCATTCCAAAAATGAGACATGAAAGGATTAAGACTATAAAAATACAGAATAGTGGCCTGTTTACGCCAAGGACATACGAAAAATAGACTTACACATCCATGACACTCTTGTATTTGGAGTTTACGATCTTCCCTATTCCCAAGTGACCCCCCAAGCCCTGTAACTTTTAGTTAGTGGCAGTTTCCTAAAGCACAAAGTAAAGGAGCTACATGGAGAGGTTGTCAATTGGTCCTGAGCTGACTAGGTTGGCAAAAACCCTATGTTGACCTCAGTGGAGAGCGAGAGCTGGGCCCTGTGAAAGGTGTGACAAGTGAGCTAGCCTTGCTCAGAGAGAGCTCCTTGGGTCATGGGAACAGGAGGTAGTCAGAGGGACACAAAGGAAGTGAAAAGGCACACAGGAGGGCCCGGCTTTGTGCTAGAAACCCAGGCGTGCACTCAAGAGGGAGGCACCGTGGACTTAGATTTGCTGACGTGGAACTCTCTCTCTTACACTGTTAAGTGGTAGGAAAGGACGCACCCTTCCCGTCATGTACATGGTGCAATCCCATTTTTACTAAAAATGTTCCATGAAGTCTAGCTGCATATGCAACCAGGTTTAATTCTGGGTTGTGCTGTTTGGGGTAATTGTTCCTTTCTTCTGCATTCATGTCTATATCATGTGCATTTTTCATCCCAAAGAGCTTGAAATATTTTGCGAGTAGCAGGAACAGCAAAGCCGCTTCCACTTGTGTTCGAAGAAGAGGGAGCCAGGAGTGCGAATGCTGCCCACAGCCAAGCAGGGAAGATGAATGTAAAAGGCCAGCGTGACCAGTGCTGGGAAGTTGAGCAGAAGATTTTGCAAGAAATCCAAGGCATTTAGTAATGTTGGTCACTGCTTCCATTTCAGCAGCAGTTAATCTTCTCTTGCCAAAAAGCAGGTACAGGAAAAAGCGCAAGTTGACGAATATAAGGACTCAAATCATATAAAAAAGGAGGCCACAGCCAAGCTTGAGTCTGCATCACCAGGAGGGGTTGATCTACGCAGTCCTCGTAGGCAAGCCACTTCGGACAAATTTCAGGGCATGGACAGAATAGCTTCTCGATGCATCTAAACTAGCTTGCTTTGCTTCCCTGCATCCCCACATGGCTTACCTCATGGACTCCTGGGGACCTCTTGAGGTAGATGAGGCCGAGACAAGAGCCCCTGTTTCATAAACGAGGAAGCTAATTTAGAAGGAAGAGTGCCAGGCATAGTGGTGTGCACCTGTCATCCCAGCACTCAGAGGGCTGAGGCAGGAACTTTGATCCCCAGGAGTATGAGGCCAGCCTGAACTACGCAGCAAGACCCTGTCTCAAAAACAGACAGAGAGACTTGCTTTTGTGGCAGGCACATGGTACAGGAGGTCTCTGACTCAAGTCAGCCCTCTCTCCAGGGCATCACAGGCTGGGGCTCAGGCAAAGTCCAGTGGTATAGAGGATGGTACTCATTCTTTGTTCATTTGTGATTTGATTTTCAAGTCCAAGAAATAAAACCTTTAAGGGCTGAGAGTTCAGATCCCGCTTGTGTCACCTGCCCTTTTTTTTAAAAAATTTTTTCTACCTCTTCTGTTCTTTTATAAATGTGTGTATTCATTATAAATGTTTTTTGTTTTTTGTTTTTCTGGCCAGCTCAGCCCACCCTGAGGACAGGGCTGGTGCAGCATGTGGTGCCAGGGATCAAACTGCAGTCCCCTGCGCTTGCCTAAGCAGATGCTTTAGACCACTGAGCTATCTTACCAGCCCCATGTATTCATTATAAAATGATGATTACCCATTGTAGAAAATTTGTAAAATACAGAAAATATGAATTTCAGGGCTAGGGGAAATAGTGGCACAAGCCTGGCAAGCGCAGGGTCCCAAGTTCGATTCCCCGTACCAAAAATAAATATTTTTTAAAAAAGAAAATATTGGGGCCGGGGAGATAGCTCAGTAGAATAAGTGCTTCCCTGGCAAGCACAAGGGCCTGAGTTCAATCCCCCATTCCACCAAAAACAACAAACAAACAACAATAAAATATATATATATATATATGAATTTTAAAAATTAATATCATCTAGAGAAATTACTGTTAACATTTAGCACATGTTCTCAAAGTCCTGAAACTTTTTTGAGCAGTCTATCGTGCAGTCTTTTTTCTTTTTCTTTTTCTTTTTCTTTTTTCTTTTTCTTTTTCTTTTTTCTTTCTTTTTTTTTTTTCTTTTTTTTTTTTTTTTGCAGAACCAGGGATTGAACTCAAGCTCTTGCACTTGCCAGGCAAGTGCTTATTCCACTGAGCCATCTCCCCAGCCCCTGCAGTCTTTTTTCTTATCTGCGAAAATAACTAGGAATTGAGAACTGGAGTAGGGACCCCACAGAGCCGAGTCAGAAATGAACTAATAAAATATATAATCTGTAGCCTGTAATGTGGATCATGAGTTTTCTAAAGCATCCAAATTGGTTTCCCTTCTTTTCGTTTTTGTGGTTTGTATGTGGCTGGTATCACTAATTGTTGGGTTTTTTTTTTTAATTTTATTTATTTGTGTGTGTGTGTGTGTGTGTGTGTGTGTGTCCAGCTTAGCCCACCAGGGGGCGGGGCTGGCTGGCATGTGGTGCTGGGGGATTGAACCGCGGTCCCTGTGCTTTGTTCTAAGTAGGTGCTTTAGACCACTGAGCCATCTCACCAGCCCCTCGTATCGCTAATTGTTTACCTAATTTTCTGATTCCTAACAGACATTTTATTGAGTCATTGGATCAAGGTCTAAGGAAGTAGTGATTACTTAGCAAGCTGGGTAAGTACTGCAGACCATAAAGTGATACTTCAGCCAGGATCACTGAACTCTCTTCTGGAATTCCTTTATAGCCTATAGTCATCATCTTGCGGTCATCAACCATAGACACCACCCTAAATCCTCTGACCCTTTGATCTCACCTGACAAATCCAGATCCAACCAGCAGCCCAGCGATGCTCAGCAGAGCCACTATACTGTTGACAATATTTGGGTTCTGGACTATACCAAGTAGCACGAGAGTTAAATATTCACCAATCAAGTGAGGGGCCAAGAGCGCAGCAGAGAAATAGCCAAATCGGGCAGCCTCAGGATACAGGCCCAGAGCCCTAGGAAAACAGAAGGCCGTTAGCTTCCTTCCCAAGCACTGTCATCAAAGAGAAACGCCACACTTGGCTTCTATGCATAAATACTTGGTGTTGCAGGCTGGGAAGAGCTAGCAGAGGCAGCCCAGCTTGCTTCATGTGAGGCATTTGGGGCCCAGGGCCAACGCTTGAGACCTCTCATTGCCACAGTTGTTTTCATTGGCCTCTACTCAATGCAAGTCAGCTCACTGAAGCACTTGTAGCAAAATAGTAAGTTACTAAGACAACAGTCACAATGAGCTGCACTAAGGAAGCTGATGGACCCTCTAGGCCTCCTTCTAAGAAACTAGGTTCTTCCAGCACCACTCCTACCCCAGTGCTAAGGGCCCATTCGGCCTGTGTCACCCCTGCCGAGGACGGAGCCAGCATGGAAGCCCCTCCCCTAACTCTTTCTCCCCTATTTTGTCTTCCCTCAGACTGGTTTCTCCCTCCAGGCCTCTGTTCCATTCTTATCTTTTATTCTAATCTCCCTTTCTTGATTTGACTTTGATTTCCTTGTAAACAAGCAAGCCTGTGGCTGTACCCCTTTCTCAGACATTGCTTTCCCCAAATTTTATTTCATGTATGATAGGGGTTTCAAGCACCCATTGCCCCGGGTTGCTCTTCAGCCATAGAGTAAGGAAAAGCAACTGGACTGTCCTATACCCTCCTCCTCTCTTCAAGGCCACCACCTTTCCTCTGGCACAAATCATGACAGTTTATACTACTGATTCCCTTCATTATTGTAGTCTTGTGACATTTAAAATCTCCATTCCCCTCTAATGATTTTATAGACCTGGCCAAGGGTCGTTCCCTATCAGATGTCCAGGAAACCTTAACATTGGTACCCGGTGTGGTCAGGATCACTTACTTTCATTTTCCCAAGGTCTTGAGCCCCTGGGAAACATCTGCATGGACCTCTCCTCATCCTCTCCTAATCTCCATTCCAGGGGCTGCATCTGCCTAGCCTGGGTCACTCTGCATGTCTTCATCTTACACTGTACTCAAAACGGACCCACTCACAAGGATCCAGACTCTAAGTGCACCCTCTCTTACCTCAGCCTCCCTCAGTCCTCACTGTCCCAGGTTCTTGCTTGCTTCTGTCATTCTTGGCTTTATCTGTCTTCACCCTTGCACTCCCTGTCTTCTGGCTTAGGGGACCAAGAAGCATGTTCAAAGCGTGTTGACCAAGGCCTGTGGCCTGTTCTCAACTGTTGAACTCACCTCCTAGTTTATAATTTTCTTGCTATCTTCACTCTCCATTTCGCTCTCCTTCCCTCTCCTCCTCCCCAGCCCCATCTTTGCCAAATATTTCCCATCTACTAGCACCTACGTGTGCATGTTATTCTGATTCTCTGGACTTACCTGGGTCTACTCTGAAACCTTGATCTGTGACCTTCCCAATTTGGGCTGGATCTTCATCGAACTCACAATAAATTTTGTTGTAGTTTCTAATTTTTGTTTACTTCTTGTGGTGTTGAGGATAGAGCTGAGGGATTTGGACATGCTAGGTAGGGCCTCTAACCCTGAGCTGCTCCTCCAGCCCCTTGGTGCTTTCTAATACTCTTATTATTTTTATTTATTTATTTTTGTGGTACCGGGGATTGAACTCAGGACCTTGCGCATGCCAGAGAAGCACTTATTCTACTGAGCTATCTCCCCAGCTCTAATACTCTTATTTATCTCATCCTAAGACAGCCATTCTTTGGGCTTGGTGAACACATAAGCAACTGACCCTGTGTTTTCATCGTATCCTCTTTCCCTAACAGCATCTGTTTCTTCACAACCCTTGAAAACCTAACTTTTACCCACTCTACTCTACGAAGCTCTTTTCTGGAAATTCACAATCACTGCCTCCTTTTCTACCTTACCTCCTTTACTTAATAGGTTAATCACACCTTCACACACACACACACACACACACACACACACACACACACACACCCTCTGCCCAACATTGCTTCCCCTTTCACTTCCCCAGTACCTCTTTGCCTTCTCCACTGACCAGCCATCCTATTCTTCCCCTTTAAGCGTTTACCCTTGGAGCTCACACTAGCCATGCCCTAGTTTATCTTGTGCTTCTATATCGTGATTACAATGATTCATACAATATGCCTTGGGCCTTTGAACTGGCTATGGTTAGAAGCACCTGTCTGTGTCCCCAGACAATAAAGAGAGGCAGCACCTCAGGGACAGCTCAAGTTCTCCTTCTTAGGGCCATGAGCTCGGCACCTTTACACTGATGGAATCAGAGAATGTCGGGCCATTCCAGCCGAAGTCACATAATAAGAGGAGCTCCAACTCCCCACAACAAATCCTGCAACTATCGTAACTCTACATATCCTTGATTTATATCTCTATGAAGTTCTAAGACATAAGAAGGCAGCAGTCCAAACCCAGAGGCTCTGGGAATGTTCCCTGGCTCCCAGTACTCTTCCCAGTTACCATTCTGTTCCTCCAGCTCCCCTTTGCTCTGCCCAAAGCACAATATCCCTGCAATGTCCTGGCACATCAGTAATGCCCAGGCAGGAGACCTGCCCCCTCCAGCTCACAGCAGCCTGTGAAGGCCACATGTCATTGCTGGTGATCAGTGGCCACATCCTGTGCCCCTGGGTCCCTGGGGACCTCAGTCCCAGCCACTGTGGAGCCCTCTTCCCGCGCCCACTCTGTAGAGAATGTGTGGCCTGCTTTTTCCTGGCACATGCAGTCTGTCTGGTTTGTTCTCTGGTTCCACACCACCCACAGCTGGATTATTGAATTTACTATAGAACCAGTATATTGAAAGGCAGGGCACGGCACTAAGCATGAATGGGCAGGATGCAGATCCTTAGGAGCAGAGGACGTGGAGTCAGTCACCCTGCAGCTCTCTTTCCCTCCTCTAACCGGCACCCTTACTCCCTGCAGGCCCGGCTGGGTGAATGGAATGGCCCTGAAGCCCCTTACCAGTAGCTGACACTGCTGAAAAGCACAGTGGCAATGATGCTGAAGGGGAGGATGTGCAGCATGTAGGCCAGCAGCATCTGCCACTTCTCATACAGGCCATCCAGACTCTCCTGGTCACTGACAGCTCGCAGCACGGGAACTAGCATAGAAGGAAAGTTCCAGAACAGTCATCACCGCACAGCTGAGGCAGGAAGGGCTAGCCCATGCTGACGGGAGCCCCAGGGGGGCGCGTCGCCCTCCATGGCAGGTAGAGCCTCCCCGCCACAGAAGCTACACTCTACCTGAATTCCAATATGGTTGCAAAAGATGTGATTTATTTCCTCTTCCCTAAATTCAGAGGAAGAGGGTGTTATCAGTCCCAGAAAAAGGGTATGAAAGAGCAGGGCACTTTGTCCTCTGTTTACGCAGCATGCTGGCCCCCACCGCAGCGTGCATTTCACAGTGACTCTCAGCCCAGAAATGCCTGGTGAACATAGGAACTTGTTCCCCTTCCTGGCCATCTCCAAGATCAAATCTGCAAAAAGCATCGTCCTTCCCTCCTATTCCCTGGACTGTGTGTTTCATTTCAGGGATCCCTCTAACATCTGTCTTCCTAGTGAAGCTGTAACAGCAAGCATCTGGGTGTTGCTTGCAGATTCCCACCGAGCTTGAATATCAGTGCTGGTTATTCCAAAGTAAGCTCCGAAAAGGAAGTGGTGTTGCAAAATTGGCCAGGCAACTGGACCCCATGGGCTGTGGCATCCCCAAGGCCAGGAAAGATATTTTGAAAAACTTCCTCCCAGTTCTCTGCCACCATAGCCTCATGACTGTATGCTTGCCTGGATCCATAGACCCTCAGAGACATCCTCCTGGTGAGCTAATTCAGGGTAAGGTGCTTATAACTCAATAGGTACCTTCCCCAGTGAGGGCATCTAGAGAGGGGCGGGGCAGTTCAGAAAAATATCCTTCTCTGGTGGACTTTTACTGAGTGACGCTGAGGCGGGAACTAGAAGGGGACAAAGAAGTGCACTCCTTGCACACCACACTTACACAGAGTCACAGCATTAAGCATGCCTGTGTATGGGGTAGCGCCCACAAACTGGTACAGGAGACCCACGCGGTCCTGGACAGCACCCTTCAGCATGTCGTTTTGGACCCGCAGGAGGAAGAAGGTGACGAACAAACCCATGATCAGATTCTGGAGGAGACGCATCATCAGTGCTTGCTTATTTCTCAGTAAGTTTCTGGTCACTCTCCTGAAAGCACACCAAACCACCCCATTTTAATGCCTTTTCTTTCATTACTGGTGATGATCTAAAGACCTAAAACACTGATTTGGGGCCTGATTTTCATCTCTGGGGCTCTTACCTCAAGAGGACCCCCAGCTTACAGAGAGCTCCAGGAAGATCTTTGGTTTTGAAAGGAACCGCTGGTAAGGTTTTCAGGTGTTTTGTTCTTTCAATATTCTCCAAAGTTCTGTGACAGATCGCTGACTCTTTGTAGGAAGATTCAAACATCTGGACTCTCTTGTAGGTTTCTATTTCTCGTTCTTTGCTTTGAGAATCCACTGATGTCAGGTCCACTGTATTTTCCCCAGAAAAACATGATCCATGTGTTTTTCAAAGCACATATATACATGATAGCAAATAATGTTTTACTGTTGATTCAGGAATATTAACCATAATACTGCATCTCTTCAGAATAAAATCTATTCTTTTTTAAATTAAAAGATAACATTATAAAAAAATAAAAGATAACATTATATTTTATTTTATTCTTTTTTTAAAATCTATTCTTAATGCCCACCTATAAAATCAGACTATTTGAAAGCTACCCAGAAAGACCATGAGAATCCCACTGGGACTAACAGAGAGTTCAGTAGCTCCATTAATTTTTCTCTAACAAAGTAGGAGTAGAGCCATTTGCTTGAAAGAGACCCCATCTCATTCTGACAAGTCATCAATGGCGAGCTAACTGACCCACCAATTAACTCCTCCACAAACAAAAGCAAAACCAGAACCCACTCAGGCAGGTGCCATCTGGGCAGAAATATGAGAGGAGAAAATTTAAAAACATTCACAATGGGGAGTGTAAAAGTAAAACTTACTATAGAAGTCAAAAGGGTTGGAATGGTCAGGACAGGGGTAACCACAGTTGTTGAAGAAATCAAGCATCTCCACTGGGGTACCGCAGAAAACCAACTCTCCAAAGGTGAGGATGGCGATTTTGTCAAAGTGCTGATCAGAGAACAGACAGTGTGTGGTCAGCTCGCCGAGTCCTCCAATTCCAAGCAATTGCTTGGTCCTTTGGTTACCTCAGCCGCCCATCAGCATCCTCAGGGGCCCATTGAGGACAGTCAGAGTGAGTCTCTACATGTACCAGCTGGGTCACCTCAGACGACCATGCTCTCCCCCTCCCGAGCCCCAGGGTCACCTCTGAGGCAGAAGAGCTACATGGCCAGGTTTAAATTCTAGCCATTACACAGAGAAGGTGACTGTGAGCAACCTGGGGTGGGGTGTGTGTGTGTGTGTGTGTGTGTGTGTGTGTTGTACATTTTAAATCTCAGGTTCTCATGTATAAAAAGTGAATAACAGCTAACAGGACACTGGGAGGGTGAAATGAGAGTTTGCAGAAGGAATCTGTAGGATTCAATGGAAAAACACAGCCTTGGAAGCCAACCCAACCATGAATGGCAATTCCACCTTTAAGCTCCGTCACACTGACTCCATTTTGAGTCATTTCTCTGCTCTTTCCCTCTGTCCAGGAGATAGACTGATGTCTGCCTCGGAGGATTATCCAGAGACTTCACTGAGCGAGTGTTTCAAACGGATTTGGAATGTGATGCTAAAACAACCTGGTTTCTGGGCCAGTGAGGCGGCTCAGCAGACTAAGTGCCTGTTTAGGCAAGAGCAGGGATCTCAAGAGCAGGGTTCAATCCCTGGTCCGCATGCCGTGCTGGCCCCACCCCTGGATGCGTCGAGCTCTCCACTGAGTCTGGGCATGGTGGTGCATGCCTGTAATCCCAGGGCTGGGGAGGATGAAAACAAGAGGATCACTACGAGTCCAAACTGCGTAGTGAGGCCCTGTGCAAACAAAATAAAATTAAAAAAAAAAAAACCAAAACCTGATTTCCATCCTTTCTCTTCCTGAGTCAGGACTGGTGGCTCCAGTTGTTTGGTGTCTCACAGTTAGTCTTCTCCCTCACTCCCAGCTCAGGGCCGTGCCCTCCTACCTGGAAGAGCTCAGAGCGGGGCTGGTGGATTGTGAGGATCACGATGCGGTCCCTGCGAGCCAGCTCAGCCAGGAGATGGACGATCTGGTTGGCAGTCATGGAGTCCAGGCCTGTGGTTGGCTCATCAAACATCATGATCTCTGCCAGCGAAGAAAGGGGCAGATGTCGGAGCCATCGCCCACTGGGCTGTGTGCTTACAATTCAGGTTCTGACCAGTCCTTTATTGAGCTGTTGAGCCCCGGGAGAGATGAAAAGGAGCTGCGTTCAGACTGCTTAGGGTTCTTCGTATGGAGGAGCAGTGACTTGTTTCCACCACAAAAATGACCAAGAGCTCTCAAGGGCATTCCTTTTTACCCTCTAGTGACCAAGCACCACCAGGAGAGCAGGTAGTCTTCATCTACCACAATATAAAGAAGAGCTCCCAGTGTGGCAGCCCCACCTCCAGGCTCCTGGAAGGGTTGGGTCAGCCGGGTGGGGCAGTGGCCAATCTAGGCAAGAGAGCAGTGGACTGGCTACCTCGTCCTGGTCGCCCCTCAGCAGGGCATATGCTTTGCAGTGTCAGCCTTCAATTCCTACACTGATTCCTGTTGTCTCATAAACACTTGTGGTCCTACCAAAACTGATCAGCCTTTCTCTGCAAATGCAGTGGTATTGCCGTAGTGAGAAGTGTGGATGGGGTAGGCCCTGAGCCCATGCGAAGTGCTCACAGAACATGACAACACAAATGTGAGGTTTCTGACTCTAAAGATGTTTTGCATAGATGGCCCATGACTGATGGAGGTGTTATGTTCGATAAATTCACAGTAAAGGGAAAACAGTGTGTTGGAAATGCAGTTAATCTACCGAGACTGATTAACTACGATGAGACCACAATGGGTCCCTGCATTATGTGAACCTTATAGCATAGCACCCTGATTGTTCCCTCTTTCGACCACACGGCCAAAACTGTGACCTACTGGTGCGGCCCAGCATTGTAAGAGAATAGGATACTGCCTGTAATCCCAGCACTTTGGGAGGTTGAGACAGGAAGATCATAAAGTCCAGCCTAGCATGAGCAACGCAGTGACTTCATGAAACTCTCTCAAAATAAAAAATAAAAAGGGATGGGGATCTAGCTCAGTGTGAAGGCCCTGGGTTCAATCCCCAGTACGGGTGCAGTATGTGTGTGCATGGGGTGGTGGGGGAGGTAATGGGATACCTTTCACTAGCCCAAGAAAAGATCATAGTTCAAAATTTAATGTACAGTTTATACTGTGTGTATTGCTTTCATCATCTGAAAAGTTGAAAAATTATTAGTGGGGACCATTGTTCAGTTGGGAACTACCTATGCTTAGGAAATAAACTACATAGTACTTGCAAAAGTCCTGGGTCTCCAGTGGGGAGAGGTCAGTGAGTTCAGTGCTACCCAAAGTCCTTTCCACATGCAGACCAGGAAGAAACAGCCTTGAGCATCCACAGACAAGTGGCAAGTGCCCAGGTCACTTAGGTCTGTGTCTCACTTACTGGGGTCCTGGAGGAGCTGGACGGCAATGGAGACCCGGCGCCGCTCGCCACTGGAAATGCCCCCGAAGCTGTAATTGCCAATCACTTGGTCTGCCACGTGACTCAGATTCAGCTCTGCCATGACAGCCTCCACCTGTGGGAGACACAAAGCCCAGGCCCGCTGAGTGCCATGTGACAGCTGTGTTCTCAGCTTCCCAGCTGGGAGTGGCCAGAGAGGGAACATCTGAGAGCACCCAGCCACATCCTGACTCACCAGGTCCTGGGGAAATCAGCCTATGGCAGCGACATCCAGTGTGGCTTAGGTCACAACATTACACACGTATCAGATTGAAATGAGAAGGCATATATATTTTAAGTCTCTGGAGCAACAAAAAAATGCTCATATTTTCTGCCAGGAGATTCGTCATGAAACGACAGATAGTTTGCTGAGCCCCTGTTTTTAGATGCTGCCTCTGTCTCACCCATACAGAAAAAGTGTCCAAAACGGTCGTTATAATACAGCATACTTTTATAAGTGTTTCAATCTTAAAACTTATTATAACAAATATTTCATGCATTTACAAATCCAAATTCAAACTAAACCTGGTTCTCCCTGCATCACCTAGGTACATCCTAGAGTCTGACTGACCACCCATTGGCATGCAGCTCTGGAGGAAGCAGATAGAGGAAAATTGAATATGGATACGGCAATGTGTTTGTCCCCATCCTCCTCAGATGTGGTTGTGTTCTTTTCATAAGGAAATAAATAAATACATAAATGTATTGCACTGAAAAACAGCCACAGCCAGCTAGATTGGAGAACAGAGGAGAGCTGTGTGGAACAAAGTTCCAGAGAAGGCAGGGGCAGCTCTCCAGCACACAGGAAGTGCTAATCAAAAGAAGGCCCACATCTGAAACAGATGAAGAAGAATAATAAGAGTGAGTGTGTAAATAAACTAGTTTGAGATGATCTAGAAAAAAGGAGTGACTCTTCTTGTCCTCAGACTAAAAGGTCCTGGAATTGGGCTTGGGTTGACTCATCTGGGTTTGCGCGCTCCCCATCGGGGATAAACTTCCAAACCTCCTTTCATGCCTGCAGCTGCACGGAAGCTGCAAGTTTGCCCCTGGGCTTGGACGGGATGGCCAGAGGAGACAGCTGCCCAATCTGTCCTGGGTGTTTGTGCCTGATTGGAAACCTCTTCTGTGGTTGTGCAGCCTTTATGTAAAGTGGAATTCACAGAGTCTTGAAGAGACTGGGGGACCCGTCAAGCCCCGTCCCCTCTGTGCCCTGGCACTTCCACCGTCTGATCTATTCTTCACATAAACCCTAGACAGAGGCATTATTACTCCTATTCATTATGGAGGGGAGCACGGGGGTCTGCCAATTAGCTCAGCTGTTTAAGTGACTGCTTAAACAAAGCAGTCAGGCTCAGGATGCTGTGGTTTGATCCCCAGATCATCAAGCCTTACCAGACCTGCCCTGAAGGCATCCTGAGCCAGCCCTCCCCGCACCAAAAAAATCCTCCTAGAGGGGAGCACAGGTTCTCATAGAGGACACAGCCTGTCCAAGCTCCCGCTCTCGCAGGAGTCAGGGCCCCTGGAGTGCTCAGGGGCTCCACAGAGCACCAAGCCCAGCCACCTGCTCAGCAGGCTCCAGGCCACTCTCGACAGCCAGGTTTTCTTGTCAGCTTCCTCAGGTCACAGGGGGTCTGACGGCCCTTATCTCTGTTATCATTGGTGCCTCCTGCTCACTACATTACTCAAGATTTCAGCTGCCATGGACTGGCTTTGCTCAAAAAGGACCCTCAGGGAGGAGTGCTATCACTCTTCTCAGGACATTTGGGGGCTGCCTATGCTGGGCAGAGGAGGCAAACTTGCCGTGTGGCCATTTCATGGGACACAGGAACTGGCTGAAGATTTCTGCCCATGGCTTTCTTAGATTCTCTCCCTAGGGTAAGGGGTGTGGTAGAATGGAATCACTCCATCAGAAGAATCTGCTCATGACTTGCTCAACAGATAGGTAGTTTTTCTCCTACCTATTTTAGAAAGAGAAATGCTAACCCACCAGAAAGAAAGCTGCTGAGGGGCCATGGCCTCTCTCCCTCGTGATCAGGGCCCTGAGCCATGTGAACATGCCTGTGCACTCAGGCCTGGTGAGGGAGCTGTGGTGTCACCTTAGCCACGCAGGGGCTGGGGGAGCATGATGGAGCCAGAGGAACTGGACTCCCCTCAGCTCTGCCATTCCCAGTTGCCTGGTCCTAGCTGAGTACCTGTCCTTTGTTCTGCAAGACAGAGACAACGTCTTCTTCACAGCTTGATATGAGCAGTGAGACCTGCGCGGAAGGCAAGTTCTGCCCAAGGCCAGCCAGATGGGAGAGCAAACAACACCAGGTGAAATGGTAGGAGCCTGCCATCCTCTGCGCACTCTACAGTGGGGACCTGGGCCAGGCGTCGCCCTGGTCCTTCCTGAGGGCAGACCCTGCCAAGGCTGTCCTCGGTGGACCAGGATGCTCCAACAGGAGAATGCCATTTACCCACAAGCCTCCTTGGCGGGGAGCTGTGCCTCTCTGAAGGTGGCACTCGACCTGTCATGGCTCCCAGGTCTCACAGTCCAGACATAACTGAGGCAAAGTTTCCAGGGAGGATTCCCACAGGTTTACTCGGGTCTACTTCCAAAATGGCTGCACTTAAGAAATAGCTTCGAACCTAGTAAGAGTTGACTATTCCATAGTCCCTGCCTTCATTAACTTAATCCCAGTTGGAGGAGGCCCGTTCAAGACACCACAAAGGAAGCTGAGGAAAATCTGTGGGAAAAATAAGGTAGCTGCTCCATGCAGACCTCACAGGATGGCCCAGTCCAGTGGCTTGGAGAAGCCACACTGAGGAGGGGATGTGCCCGTCACCCAGATTTTTTTTAAAGTTTAAAAGTTAAAGGTTAGATTAATTTAATAATAATATTTACACTCAAAATATTACCATTTCAACCTACCATCAATATTTTGGAAAATTCTGAAGAAGATTACTTCACATTCTGGGTTTTTTTTGGGGGGGAGGGGGGTGTTTTTTTCCAGGTGTACCGCGAAATCCAGCTATGTATTTCACGCGGATTGGATGGGTCAGATCTCCATCGAGATGCGCAAGTGGAGCCCCACGGGGAGAAGGCTAAGCGGGACGGGGCTGCTGGGCTGGGCCCGGGGTCCCCACCTTCTTCTGCAGTAAGTCTGCGGAGCCGCGGCGCGTGGTCAGCATGGCCGTGTAGCGCAGGGTCTCGCGCACCGTGAGGCTGCTCAGGAAGGTGTCGCTCTGCGGGGAGGAGGCCACGTCAGCCTGGCGGCCCGGGCGGGGTGTGGGCGGCGGAGTGGGGGAGACACGCGCCCACCTGCATGACGTAGGAGAAGCAGTCCTGGAACTGGTCCCTGCGCAGCGTCTGGCCATTGACGCACACCTCCCCGTGCAGGGTGCCCGTGCGCCGAAGCCTCCCTGATATGGCGTCCAGCAGGGTGGTCTTCCCTGAGCCTGGGGGCGACAAGAGGAGGCCCTGGAGGAGCCCTGGGACAGCAGCGGAGGCCTGCCCCCAGTCAGACTCCCGGGGCGCAAAGAAGGTCCTCCAAGGGCCAAGCCGCTGCCCTCAGGCAGGTCCGGGGTGCTGAAGACGCTGGTCCTACTTATTTATCTCCTTTGGAGTTCACATGGAATCCACAGAATCAGAATGAAAGGAAAGCCAGGACTCTTGGGGACACTGGGCTCCTGGGGCATTTGGATTTCTCACTGTGGCCTTCTGGGATTGTCTGGTTGTTCCTGCGGGTAGGTGACCTTGCCTTTGTGACCAAGACCCCTGGTTGACCCCTATATGTACATGAGAAGCAGCTTCCTTTGCTGAGACCTAGCTGGCTGCAGCTGGCACCAGGAGCCTTGGGCACGGCGCGACATTTGTCACCAAGGACATGCTTATGGAGGGCTTGAAATAAACCAAGTAGAAACCTTGAGAGATAATAAAGGATATTTTTTTTTGTTTTAAGCCATGATGGGAAATCTTTTTATTTTGCATAAATGTAGATAACTAATTCAGTCTTTTCATCAGGTATCGAATACTCTAATCAATAGCAAATAATAGGTCTAACAAATCCCCCCAGTGTGGTGGGTGGCCTGCAGCAGGCTTGCTCTAGGCCACTCTTTGGGGCCACTTTGACCAGTAAGTCATCTTTTCCCCATAGTAAAGGTTTGGTAGGTAAATGTTGCTCAGAACTCCGCAGCAATGGAATCGGTCCATTTAATGTAACACTGGGAGTGTTAATCGGATATAACTGATTCCCACCGTTCACCTCTCTCAAAATGCCCCTCCTCACCTCCAACGCTCTTGTCTCGCCATCCTTGGCAGGTGCTGCAGCCTTTCTGGAAGGGCTCCTGTGAGCGGCCGCATGACGTGCGATTAAGCCCGCGGGCAGCGCTGCTGCCCAGAGCCGTCCACAGAAAGGCAGCTTGGAAAAAGATCACAGGGTGTCCTCACCTGCCTCACTCACCAGATCTGGCACCAAGCGACTCTGGCTCTTTGCCAAAGTCAAAATGACCATGAAAGGTGATATTTACACATGAAAGAAAACTTCCAGAACCACTTCAAAAAGTGGCAAGGATGATAGCATACATGTGTTTTTGAAGCAAGACAGGACATTCGGAGATGGGCTAATGGCAATGCCTGCTGTAATGAATTTTCTTTTAAACACACCACATTTTTCTATCACACGTCATAGATTCGATTTATTCACCATTTTTTCAACAAGTATTAAGCACCTGCTCTGAGGTTGGCCCTGTTCTAGGGTTAAGGACACAGCAGAAAAAAGAAAAAGGCAAAGTTCTTGCTGTAGTGGAACTTGTATTCTCAGTGGTTTCATGTTGAGTACAGTGGACAGACCTTATAAAACCATGACTAGGTATAGCATCAGAAACCAGGGCCACCCCGGTTGGGGAACGCCACCCACTGTCTGATGCAATGTGCACAAAGCACGACATCGGGTGGGGACACACTTCTGAGAATGCAGCAGATTATTATAGTGAAACTCAGATTTCATTTTTCTCTTTAAAAGAGCACGTTATGCTTATCAAAAGGAAAATTAGAATGATCTCAAACATTATGATACATGTATAGTTAGAATATGTGTTAAAAATGGGAATAAGGCTGGGCACGGTGGGCCATTTTATAATCCCGGCACTTGGGAAGCTGAGTAAGGCAAGAAGATCAAGAGTCTGAGCAGGCCCTATCTCAAAAAGAAAAAAAAGAAAAAAGAAAGAAAAGGAAAGAAAGAAAAAAAAAGTAGATATAATTCAAGTATGAAGGTCCTGGGCTCAATTCTCAGTACTGGAAAATAAATACATAAATAAATAAATAAATAAATAAATAAATAAATAAATAGAATTGGCAAGAAATCTTAGAAATGTGTTTTTCATGACAAAGAACAACTAAAGAATTTCATGATGACAAAGCCAGGCCTACACAGGCTACTAAATGGTGTTCTAGAGAGGGAGCAAATTGATCACAGCCCCATGAATGAGAATGGAAAGAACCTGCCAAATAGGGCAAACAATTAAACAGAGGAGAATAAGAGGTATACAACAGTAGTCTTTCAGTTATTCTTTTGTGTTCAGCAGCAGAATATTTTCATCAGCACACTCTACAAATGGACTTCTCTTCCACTTGATGAGTCATGATTCCACCTGAGTCTACAGGGTGGATTTCAAAGAAATAGCTATAGCTCAGTTCCACAAGTGACGCCTAGCCACCAGTAACTGTCACAGTCATTATGCATGTCCACAACACACTAGAACTTTGTGCAATATCCTATCCTCAAACTGTTAGAAGTGCTGGTCAATTACTTGCCATTCCAGTATTTATCTTATGTTTTACTCTTAGTACTTCTTTGCTATCATGAAAACTTTTTCTTAGTTCAACTGTTTTGAAACATTTAATTTTCTGAATATTGCTTAATCTTAATTTTGTTCTAAGATTTATACTGTATCTTTGACTTACAATTTATTTAAAAGACATTGTATGATATCTTCTCCTAGTATTAGAAACTTTAAAAAGTATATTTCCATTTTCTGTTGACTTAAAAAAACCAGAGGTTTGTACCTATGTTGTTTATTTATTATTTCTTGCCTATATCTTGTAACATGAGAAACTACTTTGGCAATAACAATATACAATGTACTAACCATTATTACTCTCCTAAAATCTTGTTTTGAGATTTTGTACTATTGTTTTTATTTTTTTTCTTTAAAATAACTGATGTTTAAAAAAAGAAATAAAATGCAATATAACCTACAAAACAAAGAAAGAAATGTGTGATAGTTTTGCTTAAGGATATGGTTTGGATGTTTGTATCTTATTCAAATTCTGAGGTTGAGATCTTTACCCCCAAGCTGATGGTAGAGTGTATTAGGCAGTGGGGTTGGAGTTGGAAGGAGGTACAACTTTCCTGGCTGGGATTAGTAGCCTTAGAAAAGAAGCTTGAGGAGCCAGGGAGATAGCTCAGTAGAATAAGTACTTGCCTGGCAAGTGCAAAGGCCTAAATTCTATCTCCAGTTCCGCAAAACAAAAAAGAGGAGAAGAAAGACGAAGAAGAAGAACAAGAAGGAGGAGGAGGAGGAGGAGGAGGAGGAGAAGGAGAAGGAGAAGAAGAAGAAGAAGAAGAAGAAGAAGAAGAAGAAGAAGAAGAAGAAGAAGAAGAAGAAGAAGAAGAAGAAGAAGAAGAAGAAGA